ACATCCATCTCTAGATTGGATTTCTACTTCACGACGAAGGATATCTAACTCAAAGAATGAGTGTCTGTCAATAAACTTTCTAGTTTCAGAGTCAATTTTAACTTCACAGTAAAGGATATTGGCCTCGAAACAGCGCAACTTACATTGGATTTCAACTTCATGATGAAGGATATTCAATTCCAAGGCTCAACTTCACGTCGAAGGGGCCATATACAATTCCAACTTCACAATGAAGGGTATCGTACCCCAACAGATTGACCTAACTTCACGACGAATGAGTCATTTACAACACAACAACACTGAAGTCTTCAGATCAAGTTTCAGCTTCACGACGAAGTATCTTGAGCCAGAAGACGATCCAGGAGCTACTTCATAATACTCTGAGTTCGATTTCAACTTCACGACGAAGAATTTCCTGCTCAGAATTTTTCCAGTTTCGACTCAACCTCACGACGAGGGAGTCATTTCGAGATTTAAATTGACAAACTAGTTTCAACATCGGATTTCAACTCTACGACAGAGGATATTCGATATGGACGAAATATGTGTCTTTTAATCTTTGCTCTATTTTCGTTACACGATAATAAGCAAAGAGGGGCAGCTGTAGACACATGATTTCGTCATTCCCTCACTATTATAATATTTATATTATATTTATATAATATTATTAATTTCATTTTTTCCATTTGTAGGCCTGACAAATATTTACATGTGGCCCAACGAGCCCGCGTGTACAACAACCCAAAGACCCAAATAGCATGACAACCCACAACATGCCAGACCTGAACCCGCTCCAAGTAACCCGAACCGATCCAAGCTCTAAGGACTTTTAGAAACCCTAGCGTGCCTTGTGTTCCCATCTCGTCCAGCGCCGTTTCTTGGTCAACTGCACGCCTCTTTTCACGACCATTTCTCTCATGTTCAACAAGCACAACGAATGTGTGTTAATAGGACTCTCAGCAACCAAACAAGCCGAGTTTCACTCGGGATCAAATACTAAAAATAGGGCACTTTTTGTATTATAAATAAGCACAACTAGCCACACACAATGGACACTATTACACTAGCAAATACGAGAAATCAAAGCAAACCTTGTAAACCTTCGAAAGTAAAGAAATAAAAAGGTAATATTTTTTTACCTTCGGTTTGATTTCCATTTGCATGCGTGTTTTTCATATTCTTTTTTGGTTGATTCGAAAAAAGCCAATGACAGAGGATGAGGGCATTTTTTGAACCATCGTCCGTAGATCTACTCTCATCGAGGCTTGATCTCAAAAAATATTTGGATTTTCGAAACGAGGAGGGGAAAAGCTTTTAGAAAATAATTTTTTTTTCGTGTTTTACCGTCGATGACCGGCGACCGGTGTCGATCAACAGCGGCGGTGAGGCGGCGTAGGGTAGTCGGATACTGGAAATCTCGTCGTGTTCTTCATATCTGAAGAACACGCGAGAGGATTTGCAAAATGGGGGAGGGGCGTTTTGGCGAGATTAAGGAGAAATAAAGAATTAATTTTTTTTAACTTTTATACTGGACCCGATCCTGCCCGCTGACCAGACCCAGGAAGCCTTAGGTCTGCATGTTTTCAAGAATTAGTGGGGAAATCCCACTTTTGGTCCCTCTGCGTTCAAAAGCTTATATTTTACCCCCTAAATCGAATTTAAACCCCAATTTTCTTCTAATTTGACCACTCAATTCGTTTTGCTTTTCAATTTAGCCCATGTTAAATTCAATTCGTAATCTAATTTTTATTATTTTTAATTATTTTTATCTTTTTTATGTTGCGTTTTATTATTATTATTATACATTATTATTATTATTATATGTATATATATATATATATATATATATATATATATATTTCTATTTATTTTTTTATTCTATACTTGATTATTATATATATATTTATTTGTTTTTTCGTTTTTATCTTTTATTCTTTGTTTATTATTACTTGCATTTTTCTTATTATTTATTTCACTTTTATTTATTTATTTTTCTTTTTTCTCTTTCTTTCTTTAACATTTTATTTTTTATACATATTTATTTCATTTATTTACCCACTTTTTATTATTTATTTTTATTTTTATGTGTATGTTACCTTTAGTTTCCTTATTCCATTATTTATTTATTTTACTTTTTATTATTTTTCTTATTTACTTTTTCTATTTTCTATTTTATTTTTATTTTATTTTCTTTATTTTCTTTATTTTATTCATTTTCACTTGTTTTAATATCTTTATTTTTAAGGGTATTTCAATTAATCAAAGGTAAGCAACTTGGATCAATTTTTACCCTTTTACTTTAAACTTTCAATTTTCTTAATTAAAGACAACTGGAAATTACGTAGTACCGAAATGGCAGTTCAAGGGTGCTAACCCTTCATTGACTGTAACCGACTCCCGAATCCGACACATCTTTGGTAAGACGCAGATCATGTAAGAAATAAGGTATCCGATCAACCCATTTATTTTAAAATAAATTATTAGTGGCGACTCCCAATCCATTTTCCTAAGTCGAAGCCCAATTCCGGGCCCACCCGAAAGACGGTTCCGACAGACATCAAAACATTTAACGATAATATTCAAAGTTTAAGGATTCTAAGATTAATTCCTTTGTCGATTAATCACTAACCTTAAATTTATTTCTTATTAATCTTACAATTCCTTTGTGCAATTCAATCGAGTCTTAACCAATTTATCTCTTAAATTGTATTCGGTTCGAGTCCATCCATAACTAAACATGCATAATAGAAAAATCATATACATCCATGCATTTATCCAATATCAACATGTTCTATAAAGCATGCAAATAGGTAGTAAAATATTACCTCAATTTTCATGCATATCGATTGACCAATTAAACTTCATTCGATCGCCCTCACACTTGATTTCGATATCCCATAATATCTCGAATTTCTTAACAATATAAATTGCATCAAAAATGAATTTTAAACTAGAAAACAGATTGAATTAGAAGATAAAATACTAAAAGACAACTTATCGGGTTCAAATTTGATAAAACGGACTTCGGATTCAGACTCAGGATGTCGAAAAACATAAAACATGACTTTTCGGAAAATATGACTTTTTGCTCAAAGTCAAAGAGTTTGGTCAACAGTCAATGGGCATGTCAAAGTCAACGGGTCAGACATGTTCTGGTTGACTCTGGTCGGTTTATATTGACTCGGTTCGGTCTATGTTGACTCAGCCTGGTTTTAGTTGACTCAAACCAATTCTATGAGGTTGCAACACTAGGGGAAAGGCTTACGCGTAGGCGGCGGCGCGTAGCGACAACAACGAGGTCTGGGAGCATCCAAACCCCATTTACAACCAAGATTTAACCAAAAAGCATGCAAATAATCGAAATACAACCGAAATTTACCCAAAACGGTTATCAGCGAAAACGACGATGACATGGTGACTCATCGATTGGGTTTTGAGCGTACGGGGACGGTGAGTTCAGCTACGATGGTTGTGAGTCAAGCCGATTACAAAGGCGAACGAAAATCGCAATTAACCGAGGTGACGGGGGAAATGTTTTTGGTGATTCTTTGGCGAGCTTCCCACAACGATCGATGATGAATTCCGGTGAGGGATTAGAGGGGTTTTGGTCATCGGTCGATGGCGAGTCAGATGAGGGTGGTGGTGCAAGCTACGACGGCCGGATTGATGCTCGACAATGGTATGGGCGGTGGGTAACTAAGGATTTTGGGAGGGATTAATTTAGGGATTTTGGGTTTCTAAACTGGAATGGGGAATAGATTTTTGGGTTATAACCTGAGCCAATTACAAATAAAAATTATTTTTATTTATTTTATTCATTAACAATGGCTTAGCTTAATTGATAGGGGAATGGTCGGCCATACCACCAAACATTGGTTCAAATCCAAGTAGTTACCCTATTTATTTTTATTTATTTTTTATTTTTCATTAAAAAAAAGGGTAAATTCAAGGTTTAGTACCTAAACTTCCTACAAATTCAAAACTAAGCTATAAGCTTCTGAAACTTGGAATTTAATCCCTAAATCAATTAAATTGTAATTTTTATTTTAAAATAGGGTTGTGACAGTTAGGCAGGCTGCCTCATGGCCATGGAAGAGTTTAACACGTCGGAGCCTATACGTGGCAGCTTCCCAGCACGCCATTTTTTTATTTTTATTATTAATCATGCACGCCATGGTTAGTTGTCTGGTAAGAGTATATATCGAATCTGGCCCTGGACGACCCAATCTCGTCCTTTTATAGAAACTGAAGTTATTGATAATAAAATAAGAGAAATTATTTGATACTTTATATGGTATTATTTAATTTATTGATTTTTTGAAAAAATTCCTCAGATCCAAAACTTCAATCTCTTAATTCTAATTTTTAAATAAAGAATTTAAATTTTAATAAAAAAAATTAAAAAAAATAACCTAGATTATGTAAATTAAACTCTATATAATTTATGTATGAAATAATTTTCTATAAAACAAAATTATTATTATTTTTTAAATAAAAATTAAAAAATATTTTCATTATACTATCATACAAAATATTTTATATAAAAATATATATTTTTAATTTTAAAAATATTATAAGTAAAGAATAAAAATTCATATGTAAATTATTAATTATGTATGTTTAGATTTAAAATATAAATTTTAATTTAACATTGTATAAAAATATTATTAATTGTTAAAAATAAAGTTCATTTTGATTTAATTTAAAAATAATATATATTTTAATTATAATTTAAAATAAGTATATATATAATAAAAATATAATTTAGGTCTATTAATTTTTTTGATAAATTCTCTTATTTTATTTTGTTTGAGAAAAGAATTAAAATTCTCAATATGGATCAAGCTATGGGAAGTAATTCGGTCAGATCCGTCAACGTACGCCAGGCCCAAACCAATTCAAGCTCCTTTCGTCTTCCTGGAAAACAAAAACGAAGGGGCAAAAACATAATTTCGACAATCCCATATCGTCTCTCCTATATAAACCCCCATCTACAAAATCTATGGTATAAAAGGGCCCAAATCTTTTCCGCCATTTCTTCTTCCGGGATCTTCCCAATTCCCAAGACTGGCCGTTAAACTCTTACAATCTTCAAGGCACTAAAATTTCCGATCATACACAATCTTCCTCATCGTCGCCTCCAAACTTTCGTAATTTCTTCCTCCCAATTCATCTCTAAATTAATGTTTTTTCTTGTTTTGATTTATTTTTTCTTTTTTAACTTTTAATGATTCAGATTCAAGATTCACCATTTTTCCATTTTGGGGCAGATCGGGTAAACAATGGAGACGTTTGAGTTTTACCGAAGGTCAACCATCGGAATATGCTTGACGGATGCATTAGATGAGATGGTTTCAAACTTTACTCTCAAGCCTGAGTTAGCTATTCAAGTTATCGTCCAGTTCGATAAGGTACTGTTAAATACTTCGTTGACTTGTTCTACTTTTCTTTATACATAATTTAATTTATTAATTTAGTTTATGTTTATTTTAGTCTATGGCTGAAGCCCTGGAAAGTCAAGTGAAGAGCAAGGTTACCTTTAAGGTATGTTCTTTCTTTTTTAGGGGGTTTAAGGTGTTAACTGGATCCGGGAACATTCTTTTAGTTTCCTGTAAGTGTTGATGTGGTATTGTCTGTTTTAATCGACGGTGATTTATGGCAGTGATTTGCTGTTTCTATTGAGTAACTATGGTGTGTTAATTTTTTTTTTAAATCAAGTGCCTACTATTAAGTTCAGTTTTATAAAAGAAGCTGATATTAGTTTGATATGATCCTTGCACTCCCAACCTTGAAGAAATATAAAAGCAATTATGACCATTCATGAATTGTAAAAGAAGCGTTTATTGTGGTACAAGAATTTCGTTTAAGTCTAATTATGATCTTGGTCTAATTATGGTCTCAAATTTCAACATAGTAGAAGGCCTGAAACTAGAATTAGACCATTTGTTTATGGTACATGGTTGTGGTGATTGGTTATTGTTTATTGAGAAATACCAACATGCAAAGCACGGGAATCTTTCAAATTAAGTAGTGCTATAAAAAGTTTTCAACATATTATGAATAATTTAGGACTTTTTTAGTGGAGAATGGTTTTATTCTTCTTGTTAAACCATAGCTACCTCTTGTCTTCGAAATTTTCTATATGACCTTTATTGATGGCTACGACAGTAGGTAACATATCTAAATTCTTTTTTCAAAAATTCTTTGCAAAAAATTTTTGGTTTTAAATTTTATTTTAGTATGATTGCTAGAGAGAAGTTATCAGAATCTGAAAATATAGACTTGCAAAAAGCTTGCTTGCTTGGAAAATGGTTTTCTTATACAAATATAATTATGTATTTCCGTTTTGGTCAAATTTCCTTGGTTTTCAATAACATTCAAAATCAGAACTGATGGTTGAAAATACCATTTTTTTTGTCTTGAATCAGTATTTTGTGGTACTTTTTCGTCTACAGTTGAGTTTTAGCTTTTCTGCTACTGCTTGTTGTGGTGTATCGTTTATATATATTTTTTATTTGAAGAATTCTACATTGCAATGTAAAACCTGATTTGCTATTCATATTTGAACCCCAATCCTGTGTTGTATGTGCTACAGGGACATCTGCACACCTATAGATACTGCGACTGTGTTTGGACCTTCGTTTTACAGGATGCTTTGTTTAAGATGGAGGGTTCTCAGGAGAATGTCGATCGGGTGAAAATAGTATCATGTGATTCAAAGTTACTCTTAAAATGACATATCAATCAGTGTTATCTCTGAAGATAGTGGAAGGAGATGATTTTTTCTATGTACTTGGTGGTATATTTCTTTCTGATAACATAATGTACAACAGGCAAAATTTTAGAACAAAACGATGATATTTTGACAATTTGTATTTTGACAATTTGTATTGATTTTTTTTCTCTTCCAGTTTTTCTGTACAACAGTGGAAGGAGATGATATTTCTTTCATCTTTCCTTCTTGACCGTATTGATTTTTTTCTCTTCCAGTTATTCTGTACATCTGTTTAGACCAATGTGTATAGTCATATTGTTTTTTTGTATTATATATTTACTTAATCCTTTTCAACAAATTTTGATATATTAATAATTCGTATTAATTGTTTTGGAAATATTCCTATCATGTTGATATTGTTTGGTCTAATTTGTTGGGTTTCTTTGGTATGTAAGTTTACCATCGTATCATGAAATGTAAAACCACTGAGGTGCTATTTTGGATTGAAATGTCCTCTTCAGATGATGCCCGTGGTCCTCCAGCCGAGGAATGAGGTGCTGAACTGCATAAAAGTTTACAAAAATGTCTTCAGTATTATCTTTATTGCCTTTTACGAAGAGCCATCGTCATTCCCTTCTATATGTGACCTGGAAAAATTTGCAATGGCGATTTCAAAATCCTTAGTGGGAATCTATATTCGCATCACGCATACCTTGTCTAAGTGCAGAGCTTTTGCTTTTAAAATTCCAAAGCATGGCTCTAACCTAAGCTGGAAGGCTCCAAGCATCCGATTCTCTAACATCATGTCCCCAAGTTTCCTTTTCTTAATGGAATTCCAGCTTCTCTTCCTGTTCGAATACAAACGCCTTTACTTGCCAAACAAAAAGGACGTGAAAAAAAGGGTAACTAACTTTTCAACGAAGTAGTCAAATTAGTGTCCTATATTCATTTTAGAGGAGGTTTTTCAAAGGTTTTTATTAGTATGGATAGCAATTAACAGAAAGTGTTAACTTAAAAAGCGACCCTCTTTTTGTTAATAAATATGTAGAACTGGGTTTGCTAATCTTTAATGTCATCTTTGCAATGTGGCGGTTTTCTTAATTAAAGATGTCTTTTAGATGTATCATATATGCATGTGGGTAATAGATACATATATATATCATATGCCATTGTTAATATCATTCTGCAAGGCAGTTGTCAGATGCATATTGAATTACTGTATAGTAGACCTCAGCTCATATCAACTATGGACCCACGGAATCATCTTTGAAACTTTGTTAGCGATGATAATTCAATATTCCCTTCAGGAGGCTCAAGCAGCATATTTTCACTTTTAAAGATACTCCACCTTTTATGTAACCACGCTCGGAAAAGAAGAAGAGAGTTTAATGCATATAAAATTAGTTGTTTGTCTATCACGAATGGTCTTTGAAACCCATAGAATTTCATGGTTGTGATTGTTTATTATGGCGGTCTCCAGTATCATACAGGTTCCTCGAGTTCTTCATTTTCAACTCATTGATGGGATGCAACTTCAGGTTTTTAACTTACCATTTTGTATGGATTATTAGTTGTTCTTGTTGGTTATTCTCCTAAGATAATGTTCTTTTGATCCTTTGACTTAAATGCAGATTAATGTCTCCGGATGTTCAACTAAGCGCAATGCAAGAGTTGAATTTCAGCTTAAAAACAGCACGAGAACTTGGATTCTTCACTGGGGTTTTCTTTACCATGGGAATTTGTAAAGCTTGAACTGAAAACTTTTCATTAATATGAATTCTATTTTTCCACGTTTTGTTTGCACTTCGCACATCGAACAATCTCATGAGATTGTATCCCTCAACAGGAACTGGTATATCCCATGTGGTGGAGATTCCTCAGGGGTAAAATCTTATAAGCAAGGAGCACTGCAGACACCATTTGTGAAGGCGTGTTTTCTGTTTGCACTTTATGCTACGTAGTTTACTTGGATGTCACCGTTCTCAGTCACAAGTAAGAATTCATTGTGATTTTACGTAATTCTAATCCGATGAAGTTGGCATTGAACTGCAGAATGGAGACATATATGTTCTAAATATTGAGTTGAGGGACCCCAAGATTCACGCAATTGAATTTGTGTTGAAGGATGGAAGTCGAGACAGATGGTCGGTTTTTCCTTTGGGCCATCCCCCTCTTTTTTGTTTTTCAGGGCTGGTGAGATGTTTGAAATTCTTATATATTTTTCTTTTCAGGTTGAAACTAAATCATAGAAATTTCAGAGTTGAGATTCCTGAATATGATGCAAGTGATCCGCTTCCATCTATACCGAAGGATCTAATTGGTCGGAAGGCATATCTAATCTGGGAAGGTAGAGGTAGACCCCAAAACACGCCGGAACAGCAAAAGGTGTGTTATGGTGCAAAAAACTGAATTATCTTCTTAGTCACCTTAGTTTTTGAATTTATGCAATTTTTTTCATTTGTTCAAGCCAGGATGTTCTGAAGTTCTAAAGTTATCTAAAATGGTGAAATTTTTTACCATGGATGTTCTGATTTGTTGTCAGATTGATCTCAGATACTCTCCATAGTTTATGTTACCTTCTGATCATAACTTGAAACCTTTTTTACTTGAGATATTTTTGCAACCAAAATGTTTCCTTCGGAAAATTTTCTCACTTTATGCTAGTGGTATCATTTCCTTTCTCATTTGTATATTACGTAGTTTCTTATCCTCCTTTGCTCTTTCGACTATTGGCCATTTAGCTTAGAAAGCCAATGCTTGATACTTGTGTAACTCAAACTTGAGTTGGGTGCTATTGCTACAACAGCCAGTATCGAGTTTTCCGTCAGTTTACTTATATATTATCACTGTGTGCATTGTAGCAAGATTACGCGGATGCTTTAACAGAGCTTCAAAATCAGCTTAGCAAGGGAATATCCTTGAATGAGTTACAAAGCAGCTACATGAATGCAAGAACAGAACGAAAAATACAGGATGATAGACAACCATCTAGGTCTGTAACACCATCATCTTACCTTAGAAGACATGATGTCGATAAGTGGTTGCAAAGGCAGTCTAAGGGACATGAAAACAAGACTGGTCAATCTTCATCAACTTTTATGGATCTCGTAGAGAAATCAGTTGGAGGAAATAACGTGGTCTCGAAGCAAAATCATACTGTTGGCTACTATGAAATTGTGGTTAGTCTTCCTGCAATGTTTTTATTTTCTTGAATGAGAGTAAACATGGTAATGGAGATTGTGGTGGTTTGAATCCATTTCGTTCATTTCATTTAATTCAGTGAGGGACTTTGATTTCTTTTTAGCCATTAGTTGTTGAATCAAATACATATTTATACATCTACAGAAGACCAACTTCCAATATCTCCGGATCAAGAGTTCCTATATGCTTTTGGTTTATTATTTGATCCTTTTTTCAGGTCCTTTCTAAAGTTGTAACCGGTGATTATCACATACTGGTTGCTCTGAATGTGAAAGGCACTGCAATTCTTCACTGGGGAGTGTCTAAGTCATCAGCTGGTGAATGGCTGGTTAGATTCTTGGCCCTTTATTTATGAGGAATTTACATGCTCATTGTGTGCACTGATGCTGGATATTTCCACCTGTGTATGCTTTCAGATCTTACTTCAACTCACTGCCTGCTTTCATCTCTAATTCCAGGCTCCTGCATCAGATATGTTGCCTGAAAAGTCGAAAATGGTTGTCGGAGCATGTCAGACTTATTTTACGGACATGTCAGTCAGAGGAGGATCCTTTCAGGTAACTTAAAGCAGTTTTTCGGGAATCCTTGAGCTTATTACATTTTCAATTGTTTAACCATGCCTTCCCCCTGGAAAAAAAAGTTGGTAGATATTAATTTGCAGAAGAGGAATTTTGTTGGTATTCAATTTGTGATATGGTCCGGTGGGTCTTGGATTAAAAACAATGGGGCCAACTTCTATGTACCCGAACAACCTGTGCTGCCAAGTGGGAAGGTAATATTTATCATACTGTACTGAATGATTTCTTATTTTTTCAGTGCACAGTAGATTTATCATTGTACAAGGTACCTTGCCTTTTGCAATTGATGTATGGGTTTACAAACTGCCTATGCACTCTGAGAAGATTTTTCACATGAAAATAGTTTTCTCGTGTCCGATGAGCGCTAGCATTGTTAGCGCAGGCCAATGCGCTTGATTTTCCATTTCTTAACTCTGTTTCGTCGATTTCATGGCTTTCTTTTGTCCTGAAACCAGTCAAATGATACAACGGGAAAGCTATTGTGATTGATGGGAATAAATAACTTAAACTGTGTGATCTTATGGTCTGATGATGTTAGTTATTTGATATGGGCATGAAACTTAAATGATGAGCAGTTAACAATTACAAAAAAGAAAAAAGAAAAAAAAAGAGGCTGACTGCATTTGAACAGTATCATCATCTATTTTGTTGAACGTTGAAAGCAATAAAGTAATACTTATGGATTTAACTCTTTTGTTGAGGGGAAAAATGGAGTTTAGAGATGCTTATTTTTGTGACATTATTATTTTTTCCCTCTGATAAAATAGTAACACATTCAAACTGAAAACAAGGAGAATTATGTTAAGAAATCAGGCTAAGTAACACGGGAAATAAACAAGCAGTAAAACAAATAAAGAACAAAAGATTTAACAAGGTTCGGCAATGTGCCTACATCCTCGGGAGTGATGAGCGTATATTTTCTTATTATTCGCAATAATCAAATCACAATTAGGTTACAATTACATAATATAAAGCAACCCTGGTACAATTACCAAAATAGCTTCGGCAACTCCCTCCAACATCTGTCCTCCAACTGATATATGAGCCATACCTAACAAATTATGTATGCCTTTTTTGTTTTATTATGTCTTGTCGGCCATCTAGCTTTTTCTTTACCATTCTTGTAGATCAGTGAACATTGGAGACCGTTTTATGCAGGTTGATGGACATGGTAAAAGAATTGTAAAATGGTTGCTTGATGAAATATCCCAAAGAGAAAAGGAGGCTGAGAGGTCCTTGATGCATAGGTAACTAAGTGATGAGTCTAGCTAGTACCTTACAAAAGAATCCAAGCATATCTATCTTTCACAATTTATGTCGTTTTGGAAACACCAGAACCTTGTTTCAGCATCTTACAATAGTTGAGATTTCAGGATCTGTAGAAAGTCTCTTTTACCTTGATTTTTTCAGTAAAAATGTTTTGTTTACATGCTCGACTGTCACAGGTTCAATATTGCAACAGAGTTGACAGAACGCTGTAAAGCTGAAGGAGAATTAGGGCTTATTGGTATATTAATCTGGATGAGGTTTATGAGATGCAGGCATCTTACATGGAACAAGAACTATAATGTGAAGCCTCGGTAAATTTCACATTTTTTCATAAATCAGATCTTATGACTATGTATCGAATACGCATTATATACCGCATATATAAGTAAAATTACCCTGTTAAGATGGCATTCACTGCCATGTATGCAGTGAAATCAGTGAAGCTCAAGACAGATTCACCAATTTACTGCAACGAATATTTGTGAACCAGCCAAATGACCGAGAGATTGTGAGGCTAATAATGGCATTTGTTGGACGTGGAGGTGAAGGTGATGTTGGGCAGAGAATTCGTGATGAAATATTAACAATTCAGGTATATATAATTTATGTCTTATAGAGATGCACTCTGCTGCATCATTCTTGCAAATCTAATTATCCTGGTTGTTCATTAGAGAAATAACGACTGCAAAGGGGCCATGATGGAGGAATGGCACCAAAAGTTGCACAATAATAGTAGCCCGGATGATGTGGTTATTTGTGAGGTATGTAATTATTTATCATGCAACTGGCACTAGGTCAGATAAGGTAAATCATTTGAAGAAATCGAGTGATCTTTCATAGATACATTTCACACAAGAATGATGCCTTGGTTTCTAAGTCAGTTTATTACATTTGATTGGTTAAATTTGTTCACATGGATATACAATCTGTTAATACAATGTTGTGTTCTTCTGTAACAGGCACTATTAAACTATTTGAAATCTGGTTTTAAACTTGATCTTTATTGGAAAACATTGCATGCACATGGTCTCACAAAGGAAAAACTTGCAAGTTATGACCGTCCAATTGTTTCAGAGCCTCATTTCAGAACTGATGCAAAAGAAGGTCTCATCCGTGATCTTACTATGTACTTAAAGACATTGAAGGTATCAATCCTGTTTCGACAAAGTACCATATTTTCTTGATATTTTCCCCTTTTTTATTCTGCTTATGTTTACTAAAGTAAATTCAAAGGTATTTGTGTGATCACGCTATGAACTTGGTGAAAATTCATCAAATTTGATTTTATTACTTGGAACTTGGAGTTTCTTGCAAATTACTTAGTTGAAAATTGTCAAGCTAGAAGACGTCTGGTGCATGTAAAATGATCAAGTATAGGGGAGCTGAAGGTTGAACAGCTCTCAGAAACTATCATGTTCCATAGTCTCTTTTGAATTTATCCTCCATTAAATCATTATACATTTGTATGACCTAAGTAGTTTTTAAGACAGATTGTATGGTCTCTATTACATCAATAATAACTGCAGTGGTTCTGTTTTAACATCCCGCTTTGATCCTAGTCATATTTTGATGTTCATTTAGTTATATGTCGTAAACTAGATCTTCCTCGATACTCTCTCTCTTTTTAAGATAAATAAATATCTATCTTATCTTCTACTTAGATAAGTCTTAACTTCTATTTAGATAAGTCTAAGATTTCAAGTTTAACATAACGTAAAATACTAAATACAAAGTCTAAGAATACACGGCTACATTTTACAGATTTGTCGTTCAAAATTTTCTATTGTTTACGGTACCATGTGACAGGCTGTACATTCTGGTGTAGAACTTGAATCCGCTATTGAAAGTTGTATGGCTCCCTCCTTCAAGGTTAGTTGCAGCAATAACAGACGAGGAATTATTTTGACTGTGCAGTTTCCATTACCTTAAGCATGAAATTTGAGTTATCGCTAAATCAAGTCTCAATCTTCTTCGTGTTGCTCAGAATCAAGGTTTTGCAACAGCAGATAGAGCTCACGTGTATACTGGTTTATCACTGAAGTTGCAGGTAACCCTCTACGTAAAGCAGCATTCTCTTAAGATTTTGTTCATGGACAATCATAGTAAGCATGCTATTCATGGAATTTCAATTTATGAATCAGCGTTTTGGTCCAAAAATTGTTTCTTGTAATTTGGATTTTTTTGTTTGATGTCATATTCTATCTTGAAAAATATTATCGGGTTTCACCCCCAAGAAATGTGAAAAGGAATGACTTTTTTCATTATTGTTGAAAAAATTCAGGACTGCTTGAACTTTGTCAAAATTCATATTGGTGATGAGCGCATTGGCCCTTTAATGGAGGTTATAATCTGTATTTGAAATCAGATGGGGCTTGTTCTATTCTAAGATATTTTTTTTATGTGATTGAATCTTCTTCTTTTCATTGAAGAAATTACTGGAATCCCGCATTGAGATTCGCCCTCTTCTGCTAACACATCATAGATTGGCAAAAGAGCTGCTATTCCTTGATCTTGCTTTGGCTTCAGCTGTTAGAACAACCATGGAAAGGGGACTTAAAGATCTTAACTTCGCACACCCGCCAGTAAGTCTCGATATATTTGCAAACCAGAAAATAAATTACCTTGAAGACAACCCATCTAACTGGGTGGTTTTGTTGTCTATTTTATGAATCAGGAAATCATGTTCTTCATTTCCTTGGTGCTTGAAAGTTTGTGCCTGTCCATGGTCAAGAATGAAGATCTCATTTACTGTACTAAGGTATATTATCTCTTAAGCTTTATTGAAAATAACTTTTTCATTCTGAGTGTTGAATTCCACCGACAATATTAAGCTTTCATAATGTCTCAAGTCATGGTTAAGATATATTTGATGCCTATAATAGTATATCACCATTTGTTGTTTCTTTGAACCTTCATAGGACTGGTATCGTGTCTCTGAATCATACAAACCCGGTGATGCTCAGTGGGCATTACAAACAAAGGCTATTCTTGATCGACTGCAAATAGTAATTTCTGACAGGGCTGTCGACCACCAAAATAAGATCCAGCCTAGTGCTGAATATCTTGGAAATTTGCTTGGCATTGGGAAGCCAGCTGTATGTCATTAACTTTCAAACATTTCTGATGATGGAGATTGTTTTGGAACCTTCTTTACGAATTCAAGACGTGTTTGTTATTTTCTCGAGGGGTTTTGTTATAAAATGTCCTTTATGCTAAAGGTTATGGGTTCCAGTCCCACCACTCAAGCCACAGACTCACTCAAACATGCTCTGACATCCTATGTGCTCCTCTGGGAGCTTGCGCCTTTGTGCTTCAGAAATTTTTACGAGTTCCCAAACGTGTTTGGTATTGTCTCCGGAGAGGTTTTGTCTCCTAGAGTAGCGCCTTGAATGCCTGATCATGTGTGTGTGAGGGCCTGTGGCGTGGGTGGTGGTATTTGAATCCCATGACATTTAGCATAGAGGACATTTATGGGCAACTGTGATACTCGTAAAGAAGTTCCAAAACAGAGATGAAGTGTCATTTAGTTCTCAATCTAAGACCATTTCGTTTGTTCTGCTATCAGCAAGATAATTTTGCAGAAGAATTAACAAGAGCAGGATCTGGAGCTGTTCTTTCCAAGCTCATTAATCGTTTTGACCCCATTCTCAGAAAAGTTGCTAATTTAGGATGGTAAGTTTTCACTGAAACCTACGAGGCTATGAATACCATGTAGCTGGCCTAATTCAGTTTGTAATATGCTTATTTTTGAACTGAGGTTATGCTTTTCGCTTCTGTTTTATAAGTTTTTTTTAAATAATGAGAGTTTTCTTGCTATTTTATGGTTTTTTTCTTTTTCTGGAACTTTATGGTATTTGCTCTCAAATATTTGCTGAGATTTTTGTCTAACAGTTGGCAGGTTATCAGTCCAGTCGAAGTTTGTGGATTTGTAACTTCAATGAATGAGCTTATTACTGTTCAGAACAAAGTTTACCGAAAGCCAACTGTTATTATTGCAACTAGAGTAACAGGAGAAGAGGAGATTCCGGACGGAGTTGTTGCAGTGTTGACATCTGATACACCAGATGTCCTGTCTCATGTGTCTATTAGAGCCAGAAATAATAAGGCATGTGTCTTTCGAATCGCTTATCACAATTTAAAGCCATTGTCAAAGCTACCCCAAAGTGCTTAGTTACGAAAGTCGGCATATGTAATTTACTTACTCCTTCATGGTGCAGATATGCTTTGCCACATGCTTCGATCAAAATACATTCCGGATTCTCAAGTTGAAGGAAGGACGTGCCGTATCTATACAACTTAAGTCCTCAAATTTGATAGTCAGGCACGTTGTAATTTAACTTCTTGATCAGTGATTTTGCACACCTCTTCACCAATATTCTAATGAACTGTTTTTCACCCACTTGCAGTGATGTCAGTGGCTCTAACTTATCTCTAAGTTCCCTTATTCCCTTACTTTCTCGACGAGTGACCATTAAAAGAAAGAACTTCTGTGGGAAATATGCTCTTTCACTCGAAGAATTCACTGCTGAAATGGTAAGCTCCTTCCGTTTATTGTTCTGGGTAGAACGAATGACTTGTTTGCAGGATATATTTGAAAGAAACCAATGATCTTCTTCGGTTCAGGTTGGCGCCAAATCTAGTAATATAAAATTTTTAAGGGGAAGGGTGCCATCATGGATCAGGATCCCAATGTCAGTTGCAATACCGTTTGGAGCTTTTGAAACTGTGCTATCACTAGATGCTAATAAGGTACATTTTATTAGCCAAAGATTTATGACTTAACCAGTAAGCTATACTTGGGAAGGGAATTGTATTTCTCAAATTCTTTTATCGACTATAATCATGTTAATTATATTCTGAAGTTCTATAATCTGTGTTTCAAATGAATACAGAGGTCATTAGCACTTTTCTTTTCTTTCTCTGAGTTTCGATACTTCATCCTTTTCAGGATATATCAAACAAGATTATCCTACTTAGCAAATTAGTTCATGGTGGTGATGTTTCCAAAATTCAAGAAATAAAAGGAGCTATTCAACAAATGAGTGCTCCTGTATCTTTGGTATGTCATTGGGATTTAACTGTGTTATACCATAGTGCTGTCAAGCAGATCTTAGTTAGGTTTATGTATATCATAAGGTAGTCGATGCCGTCTTTATTAATATTTCAAACTGATAGTTTTGTTTTTGAACTTTGTGGTAGACCACTGAAGTTACGAACAAAATGAAAAGTGCTAGAATGCCATGGCCTGATCATGGGGGTGAGGACCGATGGAACCAAGCTTGGCAAGCCATAAAGAAGGTTGGGACTGTTTTTGGCATGTAATGCATTAATCATATGCTTTATACTGATCATTTTTATATTTGCCATATGCTTTCTACTACTCATATGCAGGTTTGGGCTTCAAAGTGGAATGAAAGAGCATATGTTAGTTGTAAGAAAGGTAAACTTAATCATGAGGACCTTCGCATGGCTGTACTGATTCAAGAAGTCCTTTGTGGTGATTATGCTTTCGTTATTCACACAAAAAACCCGTTATCAGGGGACACCTCGGAAATATATGCAGAGGTAAGCCTCTCTGCTTGGTTTTATATGAACTTACCGGTCTCGAAAACATTTTGCATTTACCTTCTTGGCTTAATTTTAGATTGTGAAAGGCTTGGGAGAGACGTTGGTGGGTGCATATCCCGGACGCGCTATGAGCTTCGTTGCGAAAAAGAACAACCTGAAATGTCCTATAGTAAGGCAGTTTCTTTGCATCCAGGATGCTTCATTCAGTTCTTCTGGATAAACATACCTGAACAATATGCACTTCATTTTTATATATAAGATTCCTCTTATCAGAACTTTAGAAAGCCAAAGCTAATGAAAAACTGCAATTAACTCAACAGGTTACCGGTTATGCAAGCAAGAAAATAGGGCTCTATTGTAAGCCGACTATCATTTTTCGTTCCGACTCGAATGGCGAAGATCTCGAGGGATTTGCAGGGGCTGGGCTTTATGACAGGTTAGCTTCTGAAATCTGACTTGTTTTGGACAGTATTTTGCAAACAAAAATAGGATCATAAGTAGTTTATCCATTTTATTCTTGAATGATTTCAGTGTACTTATGGATGAAGAAGAAAGCATGGTTTTGGATTATTCCATTGATCCAATGATAGTTAACAAAGCTTTCCAGACCTCAATCTTGTCAAAAATTGCAGAGGCGGGTAAGATTATAGAAACCCTTTATGGATGTCCGCAGGACATTGAAGGAGTGGTGAAAGATGGAATGATTTATGTTGTTCAAGCAAGACCACAAGTCTGACATTTTAGTTTCAATCTGAGAATATATATATATATATATATAGAGAGAGAGAGAGAGAGAGACGATAATACTAGACATGATATAAAAAAAATATACTAATAATATAGAAATGAACACGATATGAATATATAAAAATTAGCTGTAATTTGGTGGCAGATTTCTGCTTTGCAATACAAATTACATATTCATCATAATTATTATAAAATTATATATGATACAAAATACTTATGTATCAAAAGTCGTGGATGTATAAAAGTGGGTAGTTCTGCGGTGCGGCGCTTAAAAAACGGCTAATATACGGCGTGACCGGTTAAACAAGTGACCGGTTAAAATTTAGACCGGTTATGTTATATTATTTAACCGAAAATATTATCAAGTACAATAACATATTAGGTAACGCTTATATAATGTAATAGATAGCGCTTATATAATAAAATAGGTATTTAACGGGAAATATTATCAAGTACAATAACATATTAGGTAACACTTATATAATGTAATAGGTAGCGCTTATATTGACATATTTTATAAGTAAATCGGTATATTTATACCGGTAACATTGCAAATTTACTTATTACATTATAATTATCGGTTTCGATATTTCATAAAGTGTCGAAACTTTTTATAAAAGTATCGACATTTTATGCTTGCACCTCGTTGGGCATTAATATTTCATTCTGGACAAAAATATCGACACAAACTAAAAAAGTGTCGATACATGATTTAGACCTATTCTCTCATAAAACCGGTATAATTATACCGGTTTTATTGACCATTTACCTATTACATTATACTTATGGGTTTCGATGTTTTAGGGATCGATATTTTTTTAATAAATGTATCGACACTTTTTAAGGGTACACCTTTTTTGGCATTCATTCTAGACCGTAAGTATCGATGTTTTCAGGATCGATACTTTTAATAAGTGTCGATACTTTATGTTGACCTAATATATTATGCGTGCACCTCGTTTGGGTCGATACTTGTTACATTGTTAATTTACCTATTACATTATAATTATTGGTTTTGATGTTTTTTGGGTCGATACTTGTAGTTATTGTACATACCTAAATATGTACTGCGAATTTAATGTTGTACCCACCCTTTAACTACCACTACCAATACCACATCCTATTGAAAGCAGCACAACTGAAACATGTTCAAAATGAACCTTTGCTTACATCTCCATCAACTCCTGGACCACTGAACTTGCACAACAAAATTTTTTCCATGGATAATACTGATGTAGACAATGTTAAGCCAACCGAGGAATGCCATGAAGTACATAATGTTGATGAATCTGACAGATTGGTTGGTTAGTTCTTCTGTTCACGTGATCAAGCTTGGTACTTTTACAAGGGATTCGCACGGGAACATGGGTTTAGTGCACGTAAGGGAACAACACGGCTTGACGTGGAAGGGAATGTGAAGACACAAGAATTTTGTTGTTTCAAAGAAGGGTTTCGAGTATCAAAAGTCAATACTGTTGATCGTCAACGTGCTCATACGCCAGTCACAAGAACAGGATGTAAGGCTAGAGTCGTAGTTATAGCAACAAATACAAACGATCAGTGGGTTATAAGTAAGTCTGATCAGAAACATAATCATGCATTGTGCACACCTTCTATGACACCATTTATGCGTTCTAATAGACCTCTACAAGTAAGGCTGTAAGGCTGATATCGATGAGGCAACAACATTGAAAGAGGTCGGTGTTGGCACGTCACAAGTAATGAACTATTTAACGCAGCAGGCATGGGGCTATCATAATGTTGGATTTACACATAAAGACCTCTACAATGCACTTCAAAGAGGTAAAGCAAAGGAAATCGTCGATGGGGATGTGAATGCGCTTATTGCCTACTTTGATTATAAGAAACATGATGATCCCGAGTTTTTTATGACATACTCGGTAGACGAATCGGGGGCATTGTATAATCTTATTTGGTCGGATTCTTCATCGAGATCGGATTACACATGCTTCGGTGATGTAATTGCGTTCGACACAACGTACACAGATAATTTGTATGGTCGACCAATTATGCCTATTGTTGGTGTCAATCATCACCATAACACAATTGTGTTTGCCACTGCCATAATCGCTGACGAGACGTCTCAATCTTTCGAGTGGATGCTACAGAATTTTTTAGAAGCCATGATGAATAAATCACCTATTTCAGTTGTCACTGATGAAGATAGGGCAATGCAGAGGGCTATCAAATCTGTTATCCCTTATGCTAAGCACAAATTATGTTCTTGGCATCTTTCTCGCAATGCACAAGCTAACATTGGTGACCCAAAGTTTACAGCAGCATTCTCAAAATGCATGGCTTCCTGGTGGACAACCGAGGAATTTGATATTCAATGGCGTTCGGTTGTTTCAGAATTCAACGTCCAAAAGCATCCATGGGTGATTGAGAAGGGAAATACACGACACTTATGGGCACAAGCATATATAACTGGTCATTTCTTTGCCAATATTCGCTCAACACAAAGGTGCAAGTATATGAATGCTTCACTAGCTATTGCACTGAAACACAAGAAGACATATTTAGATGTTGTTCGTGCAATTGAAGATGGAATTAGTAGAATGCGTATGAACGAGTTGAAAGCGGATTACTTAAGTTCCCATACGAAGCCCTTCCAGATCACAAAACTGGTCGACCTTGAAAGCCATGCCGCTGCGATTTTTACCCGCGAATCTTTTCGTGTGTTCCAAGATGAACTTATACGGGAGACATTGTATTGGATTGAGGCAGAGATTAAGTCCTTATCAGATGAATGTCAACATTATATTTTGTCAAAGTACGCAGAAAAAAATAGGAAATTTGAAATTAGTTTTGATTCTCGTACGAAAACTCTAATTTGCTCCTGCAAAAAATTCGAGACCGTTGGACTTCCATGTCGCCATCAACTTCACATTTTGAAGCACTTGGACTACACATATTTACCCGGGACTTTGATTCAAAGTAGGTGGACTAATGATGCGAAGGCTTCTGCACCCAGTTATGTTGATTTGAATGTGTCTCCAGAAGTGATGCAAATGGCAAGGTTCGCTGCTCTACGTTCAACGTCAAGTAGGTTATGCTACATTGCATCAAAAACAGACGAGTCTTTCAAAACCGCAAGAGATGAGATGAAAAAACTAATAGAAGAATTAGAAAACTCGTTTGGTTTGAATGATTCAGTCAACCAGAGCATTGTAGTAAACAACGTTCGTGACCCTCAACGAAAACAACGCAAGCGAAAAGAAGTGCCGAAGAACAAGGTCGAGAAGAAAATTAGGCGATGTGGGTACTGCAACGGTGAGGGACATAACAAACTAACATGTCCTCAAATCAAGCTCAGTTTGAGTACAAGCACACAGCCTACATCAACTGATTTTTTCGAAGACGTAATGGAATGACAACGATCTCCATATATCGTAAGTATCAACATGACTCCTATTGTGTATAAGAAACATGTACATATAAATATTTTGAATGAAGGAAGAAAAACCGCGTTACTTAAAATTAGCGACACAATATTAAAAATTGTCGATATAGGTTGTAGACCTATTCGCTCATAAAACCGGTATATTTATACAGGTTATATTACAAAATTATCTATTACATTATAATTCTGGGTTCCGATGTGTAAATGTCGACACTTTTTGACAAGGTATCGACACATTTTTCTTCCATTCTGGACATAAAGTACCGACACAATATTAAAAAGTGTCGATATAGGTTGTAGACCTATTCACTCATAAAACCGGTATATTTATACCGGTTATATTACAAAATTATCTATTACATTATAATTATGGGTTCCGATATGTAAATGTTGACACTTTTTGACAAGGTATCGACATATTTTTCTTCCATTCTGGACATAAAGTACCGACACAATATTAAAAAGTGTCGATATAGGTTGTAGACCTATTCGCTCATAAAACCGGTATATTTATACTGATTATATTACAAAATTATCTATTACATTATAATTATGGGTTCCGATGTTTTTTCAATCGACACTTTTTGAAAAGGTATCGACACATTTTTCTTCCATTCTGGACATAAAGTACCGACACAATATTAAAAATGTGAAAACTTTGTTGTGGATATCATGGAAAACAATGATATAGTAATGTGTTTCGATACATTTGCAAGCAGATGTAAAATACATTAATAACTAGTATTGATATTTCAACAATCCTCAAATGTATATGTATACAGAGAAGCAAATATGGAATAATTAATGAAAATATACACACAATATAATCACACCAAAATATACATACACAAGAATGTTCAAATAATGTACCGACAAACGAAATTAATTCGATGAAAAAGGGTTATTTCTAACGAAGTCCGGAACATTAGAGGCCTTCAACAAATTTTCCAAATACTCTCGTATGTTTCCGCCTTTTTCTGAGGACATACATAAATAATTTCAATTATCAAACTAATGAGGTGCAATTTTACTAACAATAAATTAAATTCGCATAAGCATGAATAAATTTGTGTCATACCTAGAGCATTGTCGTTCGAATGGGAAGCAGCGCCAAAGGTATGTGGACATATGTAATTGTATTTCTATATAAACAAATAAGTTGTTAAAATAATCAATGTCTGAACATCTGTTCAACTGGAAAAACATATTGCATAAATGCTACTTACCGGATTATAAATCATTTTTTCCGCTGAATCATCGACCAAAAGTGTATTTAGCTCGTTAAAATCTGGACACGCGTTCCAAACATCATTGAGATCTTTACAGTAGGTAACAGTATCGTATGTTTTGCATTTTGCTTGATCCTGTTCACAAACAGTCGAACATAAATATGTAGGAATCATAGACAACAAAAAGTCAGCAAACTGTAATGACATTCATCTTACCCACACGAATAGAAAATGCTCAGAAAATAAAGGTAGCTTCTCAAGTACACGATCGACGTTATGCCTGAGATTGTAATCAAGTTTGAATGTTAACATTCAAATGTATATTAACGATTTTGACTACAGTAATTCAATTGCTCCAAACATGTTCTAACCTCATCTTTGAAGACCAAA